TGGAAACAAAAAGGGGAAGGTTTTGAGCCCAGGGGATCAAAGCCTCTTGGACATACTTTGTTTTCCATCGAAGTGCTTGTGAGTCTTCCGGGAAGTTCCTGTAGTGAACGATTAAATGTTTACCTGGGTGGGAGACTACTGAAAAATAAAGCCAGCGTTTCCGGGCGCCGATTTGACACCAGAGGCCGGAACGTGGTCGTGCACCATACACAGCCGGTTGAGGATGCATGGTACAGACAAAACCCGGGAGAGGGACTCTCCACCTAGCGCGCTGTGGCGCGAGAGCACGTTATTGCGGCCAATCCGGCGCTCGCTCAAATTGTGCGGTTGGCGCTGAGTCTGCGCAAATCGCCCCTTCCCTGCTGGATCCCATGGCCTAGGGCACACGACCTGCGGGTAGGGTAGGAGTTTTAGTGACGGGCTCTCTTCTACTCCAGTTGCCTGCCTACCCAGGAAGTTGCGGTACCGTGGTGGGCGGGCAGATGACTAGATATGAAAAAGACAAGTGACAACCTGCGATTAAGCCGTCCCGCAGGGTCCCGCAATAATGAGTTGCAACATCGTGTTCGCTGTCTGCTGCGCAGGCGCAGCGCCGGATCCGCAGTGCGTGATGCAATCCGGAGAGGCAGCTGGTCTAGCGGCCCTAGCTTACGACTAATCACGTAACTCTCCCGGAGCGGCCTCCGCAGCCGGATGTGCAGGCGCAGTCCTCCCACCCGCGGAGGGGGCGAGGCCTTACAGGGGCGGGGCGGTGACCAAGGCAGCCAATGGGCTTCTCCCGTTTAGGGCCGCGCCCCCCGCCGCCCCGCCCCGCTGCCCGCGGTCCCTGGGGCCTGGTCTAGGCGGCGCTGGTTGCGAGGTGAGTTCGCGGCTCAGTCTGACCTAGCCCAACCTGCTGGGTCCTGGGGAGCAGCCACTGGGCTGCTAAGCGACGTGGCTCCGCGCGTGGGGTGCAGCGGGCTGGAGCAGGGAGGGCCGCGTTCCCGCAGGTCGCCTCAGGCGCCAAGATGGGACCTAGGGCCGCGGACGCCAGGCGGCTGCGAGCCGCGCGCTGGTGTGCAGTTTGTGTAGGAAGCGCCCAGAGTGCTGGGAAGCTGGTGTGTGGGCAGCGAGGTGGTAAGGGCCAACGAAGTTTATGTCTGCCCGAAAAACTGCAGTGTCTATGAAATGAAAGTCTTTCTATTGGGGCATAGCATCTAGGAAGAGGCAGAGGAGAGAAAGGGCCCTGAAACCGGCCCCTGCTGAGGCCCCACGCACTGGACCAGTCGTGGGGGAAGGCCAGGCTCAAAAAGGCCAGCGCTAATGCAGATGCTTGGCCCACTTAGGCCGCAGCTGGAATGCCAATTAATTATGGCGAGTAAGAGGATTGTCACCCAAGCCGGAAATATCCCTGTCCCTATGATCAGTGCATTCTTTTCCTGTTGTCAAGCAAATAAATTGTACTTAAAAAGCGCTTTATTTACTCTGAGAAGCCTCTGTCACATTGCCTTCAAGCACTTCCTCTGCGCGAGGTCCCCACCTGCAGAGGCTTGGGGAACCTAGAGGGTGGTGCTAAGTGTGGGTATCAGGCTTAGAGCTCTGCAGCCATTTCTCCCAAGTGTGAGGCTGCAGTCAATGACAGTCCATTGGCTATCTTCCCATTCCCAATATATCTTTTCCTCAGGTTTTGTCAGTATTTCCACACAGTTTACTGTGTTGCCTTCTTCAGGTGAAGTTGTTCAAGCCTTTTATGTGTTGCTTTTACAGTTGAACTCTCAGAGGAAGTCTTATTTCCCTTGTTTTTCATGTTTTGGGGGACGATGGCTCTGGGGAGCCAGCTGGAACCTCAGGTATCTCTGGGAAAGGGGTATAGGCAAGAATTGTTCTTCAGAGAAGATGATATGTTCTGCTCTAGACACATTTTGTCTGAGGTGGTTTCTAAGAAGGTCTGGCTGCAGGTATTTATAGAGGGAAGGTAGAGAGTGTAGGACCCAAAGTGAACTTGGAAGAGAAAAGTGGATTCAAGAGTGAATGGTGGGACTGAGTCTTGAGGAGAAAGCCCATTCTCTGGGAATCTGAGGAGTAAGTGGAAGCATCAAAGGTGAAGAAATGACCCGACATGATGGGGAACCACAGAGAACCAAGGAGAGGAGACTTCTAAGGGGCAAGGGTAGGTGTGTGAGATTTGCATTGACTACTGCTGGGGAAAGATCAAAGGAATAAAAGTAGCTTTTGGCACATAACAAGACTGAGGTGTGTTGAGCAGTTTGGAATTGTGAGTTAGAGAGCTCCACCAGGCCCAGGTTCAAGTTCTAGCACAATCATTTGCTACCTCGTTAGTTCCTCATGTGTGGAATGGGGATAATAATAGCACCTATGGCTGGTGCGTTTGAAGCCATTAACAACTAGCCACCAAGTCTCAGACACTATTACAATCACTGAACATGATTTTACTCATTGAAGCCTCACAGTATCCTATTGTGTAGGCACTGTACAGAGGAGGAAACTGAGGTAAAAAGAAGCTGAATTACTTGCTCAAGGTAACACAGCTTATAAAAGCCACGTAACTTGCATTAGTTCAGTAGAGTAATGGTAGTTCAAATTATTATGTGTTTAACCAATAATGTGTTTAAAGAAAAAAAACAACCAAACTCACTGCTGTGAAGTCACATCAAACTCATAAACACCCCTTCTTGGGTTTATGAGGCAGTATCACTATGGAAATAGATTGCCCAGCCTTCCTTCTGAGGAGAGCTGGTGGGTTTGAATCACCAGCCTTCTGGTTAGCAGTCAAATGCCTTAGGCACTGTGCCACCAGAGGTGTTAAAAATGGCCATTTATTGTGGACTACTTTTCCAAGAAGTATTCCTCATGGAAACTATTTAGTTGGCTGGTTTCAAAGGCAGAACTGATTCTCTAAGGTTTGCTCCCAGGCTATGGCAGCTGTGTTTTAATTATCTGTTTGTCTGACCACCAAAGAACTGGATACTATTGTTGCCATAATTGTATTAGAGTTTTGGGATCTGTATCTGTAAGCAAATTAGAAAATAGTCTTGAGAATCAAATTACTGCTTTAGTATATTTCACTGATCATCATTTTAATCATTTATTGGGAGAAATCTTGGTAATATTTTACTTTTTCATACATAGGATTTCTTTTCAGAAAACTGCTAAGAAGTGAAATGTGATTTGAATTTTTACATGAGAAAAGTCAGGTTCGGTAAGCTGTCTCTAGTCTCTGAAGAACTGAAATAATCCTCTCGTTTTTAGTTATTTTACTTCAGTGCTTGTGTGTGCATTAAATAATTTTTGTGTGGTTTTCAAAGCTTATTTTAGGAAGAAGAAAGATGGAAAGTGGTGCAGTTCTGCTGGAATCCAAATCCTCGCCATTTAACCTTTTGAATGAAATGCACCAGTTACGCCTGCTGGGCCACCTGTGTGATGTGACTGTCAGTGTGGAATATCAGGGAGTCCGGGAAGAATTTATGGCTCACAAAGCAGTGCTGGCAGCTACCAGCAAGTTTTTTAAGGAAATGTTCCTTAATGAGAAATCTGTGGATGGTACGAGGACTAACGTCTATTTAAATGAAGTACAAGTTGTTGACTTTGCTTCATTTCTTGAGTTTGTCTACACTGCAAAGGTACAGGTTGAAGAAGATCGGGTGCAGCGAATGTTGGAAATGGCTGAAAAGCTAAAATGTTTGGACTTATCAGAAACTTGTTTTCAATTAAAGAAACAGATGTTAGAATCGGTACTTTTGGAGTTGCAGAATTTCTCAGAGTCTCAGGAGGCAGAAGTGAGCAGTGGCTCCCAAATCAGTGTTGCTCCTGACTTGAGGGCAAATGTGGCTGTGGATGGTCCTCATTCCAATGGCCTTTTGGATTCAGATTATCCAGTAGAGAGAATCAGCAATGGCATGCTGCCAGATATCCCACTGAAGAAAGCCAAGGAAAAACTAGACAAGAAAAAAGATGTGGTTAAGCCTCCCTATCCAAAAATCAGAAGAGCTAGTGGAAGACTGGCTGGAAAAAAGGTATTTGTAGAAATCCCTAAAAAGAAATACACAAGGAGACTGCGAGAGCAGCAGAAAAGTGCTGAGGATGATGTGGGGGACTACAAGTCCCCCCCTCAAGACCAAACCCAAGACAATGGGGGGACTGAGATGGGGCCAGTTACAAAAGATGTGAATCCAAAAACTGAGGACTGTAATGTTGTTGAATTGGAAGAGATAATGCAAAAAGCAGGAGAGGAGGAAGAAGAGGAGGAGGATGAGGGGGATAAGAAGAAGAGTAACTTTAAGTGTACCACCTGCGAAAAAGCATTTTTGTATGAGAAGAGCTTCCTGAAGCACATCAAGTATCACCATGGAGTTGCTGCTGAGGTTGTTTACCGCTGTGACACCTGCAGCCAGACCTTTGCTAACCGCTGCAACCTGAAGAGCCATCAGCGCCATGTGCACAGCAGCGAGCGCCACTTCCCGTGTGAGCTCTGCGGGAAGAAGTTCAAAAGGAAGAAGGACGTCAAGAGGCACATCCTGCAGGTCCATGAGGGTGGTGGGGAGCGGCATCAGTGCCAGCAGTGTGGCAAGGGCTTGAGCTCCAAGACAGCCCTGAGGCTCCATGAACGCACCCACACCGGTGACAAGCCTTATGGCTGTACCGAGTGCGAAGCCAAGTTTTCTCAGCCTTCTGCACTTAAGACCCACATGAGGTAGGGGCAGGTCTCACTCTTATATTAGAGTGTTGTTGGAAATATAGGAGATCTTTCTAAAATATTTTTCAGAATGTGACTTGTTCACTGGAATTTTCTTTTCTTGAAATGCATTATGCTGAGAAATTGAGGTTGTACTAGGATTTGGACCACTATGTTTATATCTCTAGATTTTTCACATCTTGTTCCCTTTAAAAGTTAAGGAGACTATTTTGAAATCTCTTTCTAGGTAGAGAATCTATGAGAGATTGCTTTTCTTCAACTTTTTGGAAATCTTGTGTTTCAACGGCCCTCAAGCCAAGGGATTAGACCTTCAGCCGTCTGCTTTCCATGTTTATAGCACAGAATCCTAGGTACAGAACTCAGCTTTCATGCTCCTGTGGAAGACTACCAAACTACCAAGAATGCCAGGCCCCCAGAGGCTATCTTGACCTCCACTGCAGATAGTAACACATTCTCCCCAGTAGCTTTTGGTGCTCTAGACTGGAGGAAGAGTTGGGGCCAATTACCTTTATTTCTCTTTCCCTGGCTTTTCATTTTAAACTTAGGTTCTGTGACCATCTGGGTCCAGCAAGCCCATTCAAGACCTCAGGATATTTAAGGCATATATAATTCTTAGGAAATGTCTGTGGTCTTATGTTTTAGTTCTTGTCTTGGAAAGTGTGTTATTGGATAGTTTAAAACCCAGAATCAGGACAGACTGTTTTCTTTTGTTTCTGAACTGGAGGTGGGTAGCATTAAGTTTTTTGGGTAAGTTTCCTTATAGTTCTCAGTATTTATACCTGAAATCCAGACAAGCAGTTGCTTTCTATTCTATACTAGATCTGCCCTCTAACCTGGGCTGGTCTTTTGTTGTTCGTTGTCTTTTACTCTATATACCAAGTGTAAAATACTTGGCTGCAAAAATAGGGGCAGCATCTTCTTACCACCTCTAACTTCACAAGAGGAAGACAGAATCACCATCAGCAGCCCAAGACTTATTATTCCTATGAGGCCAGACATGCCAACACCCTCCAACCTTTTTACCAGCTCTGACACAAACCGTCTCTCCTACAGCACTCACTATGACTCTGCTGGCTTCGATAACTGGTTGCAATGGTCACACGGAACTCTCGGACAGTACTCAGGATTATGGGGTTTTTAGGGAAGTAACAGGTTACAATTCAGGTTCAGGGACACTCAGAATAGAATTCTTCAATCATGACAGTCTCCCCTCTGCTATGCCCTCAGGTATGCCTCTCGACCTGGCCTCTGCCCTGCTCTGGCAGGTGTTACAAAGCTCTTTTAGTTGTTGATAGGTGCATCTATGTGCATCCCACTTTGCCAGAAAGGCTTCTGCCCAAAAGCACTCGGCTTTCTCATTCCATGGGCCAGCAAGCTTGCCACTCTGTCTCATGCCTCTTGGTTCTTCTGCAGTTGTCTCAGCTGGTCGTTTCTGCCAGGGAGGTCCAGCACCAGCATCTCGGGTCCAAGGACAAACTTCACTCCACCTCTGGCTCTTCTCCCATGATGGCAGTGAGATCCCCCTTATTCTCTGGGAAGGCCCATTTTAAGCCTAGCAAAATGAAAGACTAATAAACCCCCACATTAGAGTTCCACACATCTTATTTGCATGATCCTACTGGTGGTGTAGTGCCTAAGGCACTTGACTGCTAATCAGAAGGTTGGTGGTTCAAACCCACCAGCCACTCCCCGGAAGGAAATTTGGTCAATCTACTTCCGTAGAGATACTGCCTTGGAAACCCAAGGAGGGTCCACTATGAGTTGGAGACAACTTGATGGAACATAACAACAACAACATCACCCAGTCATCTGGTGGGAGTCACAAAGACATTGGCTAGACAAGACATACAAGTTAATTTACTGCACCACACTGGCTTAGGAAGTGCTCAGTAAATCCTGGTTGAATGCTACTTCTTAATATTTGTGAAATTAAAATCCTTATACATATTTCTCTGAAACTAAGTTTCTTCAGTGTTTTGAGAGCAATTCTCTGTAGGCTGGTTATAGTAATAGGAAATGACAGTAAAATTTTTGATCATGTATTTTGTCAGCAATAGTTCCTAAGGTGTTTGTGGTTGGTTATTCTAAATGAGGGAATGTTAGACAAATAAATACTAGACATTGCTATTTAGTGTTTTTAAAAACGTGCAAAAGCATGGTAAAAAAATAACTCACTGCCATCAAGTTGGGTGTCTGCCTGCAAATGCCTTACATCATGAACAGTGAGGCATATGAATGGATGTGGGTGAACATTTGGTGTCTTACAGGGATACCAATCTGTAGGCTTTGTGAAGAAATGGATTTTGTTTTGGGATGGAGATTATGGGCCTCTTTTCCATTCACTTCTGTCATTTTCATTAGGCCTAGCCTGGATTTTCAGGCTAGAATGGAAATTGTATTGCAAAATGAGGTTTGAATTATATCCTAAGTTATCATCTGAATATTGTACTTTCAGAATTCATACAGGGGAAAAACCTTTTGTCTGTGATGAATGTGGTGCAAGATTCACTCAGAACCACATGCTGATTTATCATAAAAGGTGCCACACAGGTAAATACTCATGCTGTTGTGATTGAATGTCTTTCTTAGCTGTAGGAGGAAACTGATTTATTTAGAAGTTGACATTGATTAAAGCAATATAGGCTAAAGCCATGATACAGCTTTTTCATCTATTAAGCAAGCAAACAAAAATGCCCGTTGCATCCAGTGCTGGTGTTCTTGGGGCGATGGCCTTTGTACCATGGAGCACTATGAGTTAGCATATGACCCTTTGGGAAGTTACTTTGTGGGTCTTACATATCAAGAGGTATGAAACAGTTCCTGTTGTTTTGGCCAAGAACTACATTCCCAGCAATCTGTCCTAAAATAAATTGTCCAAAATATGGAAAAAGCTATTTCTTTTTTTTAAAATACATTTTATTGAAATATAATTCATGTACAGTGAAATACACATAACTAAAGCAACATAGGTCAGTGCATTTGAAAAGCTATATTCTATTAGCCATCTTTTTGCCATTTTTAATAACAAAGAATTAGAAACAATCTAATTGTCCAACCATGAAGAAGTGGTTTAGAAAACTCTGGTAAACCACCCACCAGCTTATGAACCAGCTATTTGGTGTAATGGTTCTGAACTGTATGAAAAAGCACTTGTGCTAGAATGTTGAATTAAAAAAAAAAAATTAGGCAGTCAATCTTGACTATCTTGAAAATCTGCACATAAAGGATTAGAAGAAATCAACTGTTATGTAGTATATTAAGGTGGTAGGATTCTCTCATTTCTATTTTCCAAAACTTCTGTGATAAGATTTTATGTGAGGGAGAAAAATTAAGTTAGCTTTACTCTGATTGAGCACAGTAACCCTAGGTTCAGAGCCTCATTATGTACTATACAGAAGTATACCAAGCCTAATTTGTATTTGTATATTGTGGTTATTGTACTAATACAGTTCTTCCTCCTTTGCTTGCTTTTATTTCTAATTACTGTCGTGTGCCTAAGTTCAAATACATGTGACACAGAGATGAAGCCTTTATCAGTATGAATTACTAGACTGCAAAATGAGCAGGCTTGGTATCTAATGGAAGTTTGGGGTGAGGGCAAAATCAGGCTACATGGAAGGATTGAGTCAGAGATGGTCATTTGATGAAAATATGAATGGATTCAGATTTTATTAAAACCAATATTTGTATTTTTGTGTTTGTCAAATCAGGGACACACCTTACAATTAGATGAGTCTGATTTGTGGGATCGAAGGACTCAAAACTACAAAAAGTAAGATGGTATTAAAATTATTTCTTGTCCTCTAATCCAATCAAATTGAGTCCAGTTGCTACTCTAGAATAGCTATGCATATATATTCATTTTGAACTTCCATCCCTTCAAGAAGCGTTTTTATGCCATTAAAGATCCATGGAAATGCTTTTTTGAAAATAAACTCAGCCATTCTGCCAGAAAGAGGGTATATAATTACTGTCTTGTTTGACTAAATTTCCAAAATGGTGAGCTGACTGAATTGTAGTCTAATGAAATCATTCTTGGTATTTTCAAGGATACTTCACACCGACTCTTACCAAGTAGCAAGCAGCTTTAGTGAACAGGTGTTTTATGAGTTCTAACTAGAACATGAAGCAAGCCATCCACTAGGAACCATTGAGGAATGCATATAGGTTGTGTTAAGAGTGCACCTACTACTCTCCTTTTTTTTTTTTTTTTCCATGCAGGGGAAAGACCCTTTATGTGTGAAACATGTGGCAAGAGTTTTGCTTCTAAGGAGTATTTAAAACATCATAATAGAATTCATACTGGATCTAAACCCTTTAAATGTGAAGTGTGTTTCAGGACTTTTGCACAGCGGAATTCACTTTACCAGCATATTAAAGTCCATACAGGTACAGTTGGGATGTCACCAGAGAAAGATGGGCAGTTTGGTAATGGAAAAATACCCCCAAGGTTTTAGAGTTACTAGAAAGCTATTTGGAATTAAGCTTAAGGAGAGAAATTTGGCCAATCTGTGTGTTGTAAGAATATTTTTTTACTTTGGCAATTCATTACTGACTCTGAGAAACTGAGGAAGTAGAACTACTTATGTGTGCCAACAGGAGACAACCACGTCCCTTGACTTCTTGGAGTTTTTATTGAGGACAGTATACAGGGCGTATAAATGTGGGTATGTGGACATTTTAATAATTTTCAGGTTAGAATTAGGGATAATGATCTATATGTGATATTATAGATACATATATATATGCAAATCCAGTTATCGAGGACTTAAGAGTTAAAAAAAAAAAAAGCTCTGTTAGTATAGTGCTAATTTCTGTAGATACTGTACCAGGTGGAAGAATGGATTCTGGCCTTTTTTGGTATAGGCCATATACTCTTGCTATATAATAGGGATCGCAGATTTGAATTTCTATCACAGGTTGACTCTTGCGTTGTTCTCAACATAGCCTGCCTTAGAATGGAATGCTTAAGCTTTGCCAGTGGTTTGCAAACAGCATTATTCCAGAGTGCATTCAGAATTAATTACAGTAGGTTGGAGAGACCAAAAAGCTAATTTTCTTCTGTTCCTATCTCAGGGGAACGTCCCTACTGTTGTGATCAGTGTGGTAAGCAGTTCACTCAGCTGAACGCTCTCCAACGCCACCATCGGATTCACACAGGAGAGAAGCCATTCATGTGTAACGCATGTGGGCGGACATTTACCGACAAGTCCACTCTCCGGCGGCATACCTCAGTAAGCAATAGTGTGACTCATTTAAAATGAAAAACTGTTGATTCTTTGATACACAGAACCATGAATAGTCAGAAATGCCTTTGTCGTCATTCCATAATGTGCTTAGATGAGAGAACAGGTATTTTTCTTCAGGTTTTCTCCATAGTGAGTGCATTCAAAGGGCAAACAAAGAACCAAGCCTCAAGGCCCAGGGAAAGCACAGTCCACAAGTACTTCCTTACAACGATGATGAGGACAGACGAGAGGGATTTGACAGTTAGTGAAAGGAAATTTTGCTGCAGCTGTGGTGGTACAGTGCCTAACACATTTGACTGCTAACTAGAAGGTTAGCAGTTCAAACCCACCAGTCACTCTGTGGAAGGAAGATGGGGCAATCTACTTCTGTAAAGACTGACTGCTTTGGAAACCCAATGGGGGTCACTAGAATTGGAATCAACTTGATGGTAGTACATTTGTTTTTTTTTGGTTTAGAAACCAAATTTAAGTTGAAGAGACTGTCACTCTTTTTTAATGCACTTGTTTTTAAAAAAATTACTTGTTGGGGGCTCAGGGACCATAGTCTTGGGGGACACTAAGGTGAACTGGCATAATATAGTCCACCAAAACAATGTTCTACGTCGTACTTTGGTGAGTAGCAACTGAGGTCTTAAGAGATTGTGAGTGGCCACCTAAGGTCCAACTATTGGTCTCTCCCTATCTGGAGCAAAGAAGAATGAAGGAAATCAAAGACAGAAGGGAACCATTAGTCCAAAGACCTATGGATCACATGAACACCATATTCCATGACCCTGGGACCAGAAGAAATAGATGGTATCCAGCTACCACTCCTGACCACTCTGAAAAAGATCACAGTAGGAGTTCCTGGTTAGAGTGGGAGAAAAATGTGGAACAAAACTCAAAATCATAAAAAGACCAGGCTTACTAGTCTGACTGAGACTGGCACCTCTGAGACTACAGCCCTTTATACACCCTTCAAGCCAGGAACTGACTCACCCTTGTGGCTCAGCTTTCAGCTAAGCTACATACAAGGCCTATAACATGAACCAGGAAGGTATGCACTCATTACAAGTCAATCATACGAGATCAAAAGGGCAGGATTCACCTGGGGATAAAGCTCAGAAAGCATGAAAAGATAGGAAAGGACTAATAGAAATGGTAAACACAGGGAGGAAGTGGGAAGAGTGGTGGTACATTGGGGATTATAGTGACTGTGACAGAACAAAATGTGTAGGAATTGTTCAATGGGAAACCAATTTGCTCTGTAAATTTTCACCCACATAACAATTTAAAAAAAAAAAGATGCTTTTGTTAGTAAGTATCTGTGAACTAGGATATGTACTTGACTTACGTTTTGTGTTTGATTTGTAGATACATGATAAGAATACTCCATGGAAGTCTTTCCTTGTTATTGTAGATGGCTCACCCAAGAATGATGAAGGGCACAAGACTGAACAGCTTGATGAAGAATATACGTCATCCAAACTTTCAGATAAATTGTTGTCTTTTACAGAAAATGGCCATTTTCACAACCTGGCCCCACTCCAAAGTAGCATACCTGCTGTGCATGAGAACAGGTTGGCAGACACAGCCTGCAAGCCGGATGATTCTGTGGTATCCCAGGACTCTTTGCTCACCACTGCCATCAGTAATTTTAGTGAACTGACTCCACAGACAGGCACTATGCCCCCACAACTTCACTCTCTGACCAACATGGAATAAGAACTTGATGTTCCATGTCAGGCAGACCTGGTCCTACACATCTTTGAGTGTACGACAGCTATACTTAAGATGATGCCATGGGCAAAGATGTGTGCAAGAATGACTTCCACAGATTTTCCGTTAACTAGCATGTCTTTGTCAAAGCATTTTTTCAAAGCTTTCCTTTAAAAATCTTGATCTGCATGATCTCAGCTACACTTATCAACAAACAAGGCAGTTAAAATAACCTCACCTGATTTTACGGTAGGTTGTGTGCATTAATCATTCTAATGCTTGGTTATCTTAAATATTTATGAAGTTTAGACAACTGCTTGACTTAATTGTAAAACACATTGATCCAACTCATGAAATTGCGGTTAACAGTCTCCCAAATCCCTCACCCTGCCTTAAACTTCTGTATAGGTTCCTTTCTCTTGATACTTTTAAGGTCTTTTTGACTGCCATGACTGAGTCCATGCTGAAATCATCTGGGACCTTGTATCTTCAGGTATTTCTTCCCTGTCAAATTGAGGAATATCAGATCTGCTCTGGGAGTCCTTAATTAGGAATGGAGAAATGGAGTATTGCTTTCATTTTCCTCCTATTTGCAGGCACTATAAAAGGAATAGCAAATTAAACATGTGCAAAACAGCTCAGTCTAACCTCTACTCACATATGCAGCTAGCAAATTTGCATAAAGTCAATCTTCGGAATGACATGTGGTTGGTTGGTTTCATTCCTAAAACATTGATTAGGTGAAAGCTGTCCTACCAAAGATTCTAGCAGCAAAACCTCATAGTCGTTGCAGAGTTGTTGTAGAAAATTAAGAAGTTAATTTAGGAAAACTTGAATGCTGGGTAGTCCTTTTACTGAAAAAGAGCAAAATGAAGTGATTGTGAAAAACTTTAGGGCACATAGTATTTTTGCCAGGTTTTTCTGACTTAATTTCTATAATTTCCAGAGGCCCAGACTTTCTCATTTCCATATCAAAAGATGGCATCATGCAAGTAATTGCCACATATTTGTTTCCATGGGAACACGCAAGAATACAAGCAGAAGGGACCAAAAGCCTTGGCACATTCACCTTCCATTATACCTTAAGAGTGATTATGAAGAACCAGTAACTAACTTTTTCCTCCTTTGGTTGTCTCCTGCTGAACATACTGCTCAAAATAAATTCACAGTGAAAAAATAATTTTGCTGTATTTGCTAAACTTGAGTTTTGGTTCCAGTAACTTTGAATATTGCCGTGTGCTTGTAAATGCTTTAATTCCCATGTAACTTAAAACATTAATTTTAAAAGAAAATCTTAAAGGAATTCTTCTCACTAATTTGCTTTTCCCCCTTCATTTTAATTTATTAAACTTGCTGTGAAAACAATTCCAGTTTCTAAGACGAAGTTAAGTTTCAGGAATGAAGACATAGCTGCACTTTGTGAGAAGCTAATGAGGGAAGATTTTTTCCCCTAAGTGTGTATGTTCTTTTAACTTGTAACATGTTAAATATTAAAGTCAGTATAAGCTGTTTTGGGCACTGATAACATTTTTACACCTACTCTTGAAGATGATAGTACTTCAATTTCAGTTCTGATGTTAGTGTTCAGAACAAAATCTGTCAAATAACCATTTTATTCTTAGAGGAGAAAGAACCTGCCCAGCTGATGTACTATTTTATGGTATAAAGTCATCTTGATGAGAAGGAATTTAAATAATATTTTGTTATCTACTGGAAGAAAGATTGTCTTGAATTTGTTTCTTTAGAAGTTCTACAAAACAATTGTTTTAATAAATGTTTCCTTTATACAAATAATTTTTCAGTTGTAATTTTATTTGTATTACTAGAATTTAGTGCTATAGAAATAAAATTCTTAATTGAGAAGTCTAATTGATTGTTATAAATAATGAAATTTAAAGATCAGCGTCTATAAGCTTTTATTTAGTATTCTATTTTAAAATGTGTTCCTCTTAACTATCTGTATTTCACATTTTTTCTTTAGATGTAAAGGACCTAGGAATGAGTAAAACAGACACTGGCTTACACATAAATAATTTGTACAGCTTGATACTACCAAGTATGTCAGTGGTTATACTTGGTACTCTTTTTTGCCGGTGTCTTCAACGTAATATTAAAGTGTGTATCAAACAGATTTCTTTAATGATAGGTATTTCTCCATGGGGTCACTAGGAGTCAGAATCAACTCAATGGCAATGAGTTTAGTTTTTTTGGTTTTCCCAAAAACCAGTGGAAAAACATCCACAAATCCTATGGGAAGACTATTAGAGATCTGTGGAGGCATCTCTCCTTAGTTCTCTTTTTCCAAAGAGAGCCACACTGAATGAGCAAAGAACACATAAAAATACCTGAACAAGGAAGGTGCCCTGTGTGCTAGCACATTTTTCTTTCCAAAACATCAAGGCTACTTAGGAGCTGATTTGGTGGCTTCCAACCATTTTGTGAAAAATACTCTCATCCCAAACTCCAAAGGTCTCAGCAGCTTTTGGTTTAATCAAAATTTGTATTGTACAGTTTGAAGAAATAGGCCCTGTGGTCAGGGAAGACCTTTATTAAAGATGATTTTAAAAGAAATTTGATTTTGCTGTAGATGATTATCCAAACTAACACATTCAAGTTATAATTTAATTTTAACCTGTTAAATTTTATATCCTGTCACTAATTATGGAATTAATTTAAAAAAAAATATGGGTGCTTGTCCACTTAACTGAAGTTGGTATTATTCATTGCCACTTGGAAGTGACCGTTTGCTCGTATATCACTGAACAAGAGCAGATGTGAACTGACCTGCCATTTGGACTCCAATGTGGCAAAGCAAGCCACAAACATGAATCAGAGTGCAATCTAGCTATGTTATTTCAATTTTTGAGTCCCAGAAGCCATCTATTATTTTTGCCAGCCTATAAAGGGATTATATTACCAAGGCTGGAAAACGATGTTTTAAGCCACCGTGGCGGCTTCTCAGTGTTAGGAAACACTGATCCTAAGAGAAATTTAAATGATAAACTAATTGTGAATAATCAATAACATCTCAGAGATATTTCTAGGTTAGAAAGGCCACTTCTACCATTTATCTTTTAAAATTTAATTTGATGATCCTTACATAGTCATCAATCTACTAGAGGATCCTCTAAGCCAATGACCTAAATATTGCTCTGTAACAGAACAAGCCAGTCTGTACCATCCCTACAGTGTCCTCTTCCTCTTGAACTTCAGGCTTGAGTAGCTGGTGGGCTTGAACCTTCTCTAGGGGCATGTACTGTCCTTGTGCACACAGGTGTAAAAACATACACCACCAAAACAGTTGAGTGGCATGTTTTTTGGGGAGGATGGTGTTAGGACTGGGAGTTCTTCACTTACCCACTACCCCACAATCTTTCAGGAACCATTACCTTCTCAACTCTGCAGGGATTTCAGAGCCTAAAGGATTCAAGCAAGATTTTTATTTTTTTTAATTGTGATTTTGGTGAAAATTTACAAACTCACTTTCCATACAGCAGTTCACATATACTTTTGTCTCATGACATTGACCACAATTTACCATAGTGCAACAGCTCCCCCTCCACATACTCTGGTTACCTCTTCCTTTCGTGTGTCCATCCCTCCATGCACTCCTGCCCCCTGAGCTGTCTCCCTGTGCATAAGCAGCCCTTCTTTCTCCCATGCTTGTTCTCTCCAAGAAGTGTATCTACCTCAGGTAAATGTTCAACTCATATGCCTGTCTTTTGTTTGACTGGAAGCCACAGGTGTGAGTTCAATTCGAGACCTGAAGGGCAGCTAGGGGCCATAGTCCCAGTGGTTCCACCAGGCTCTATCAGACCAGCAAAGCTGGTCACCCACCCCCCCTCCCCTTTTTTTTTCTCCAAATGATTTTGAGTTTTGTTCCACATTGTTCTCCCTCTCTATCCAGGATCTCCTACACAGATCCCCTTCTAAGTGGTTGACACCATCTAGTTCTTTTGGTCTCATATAGGCTGCAGATTGGATGGTGTACTAGTCTCTAGGACTGTTTCCATGAAATTTTGGTTGTCTTCATTCTTCTTTGCTCTGACGAGGAGAGACCCATCATTGCATCTAGATGGCAGCTTGCAAGCTTTTAAGATCCCAGTCGCTACTCACCAAAGTAGGAGATGGAACAATGTTTTGTGTAGTATGTTATGCCAATTGAGCTTGATGTCCCCTGTGACTATGGTCCCGAGCCTACAGGTTTAACTACTTGGTCAGCTGGCTGTGACCAAGCAGTGACTACAACCTTGCCTCTTGTCAGCTCTACTATACACCTGGGAATTCAGATCATACACATAAACTTATAGGACCATTGTCTGCCAACCCTGTACATGCTCTTGGATACTCTCCCTGCTTCACAGACATACCTACTAGTTCAGCCTGTCTACCCATCTATCTACCCATATACCCATGTTTGCCTTCACTGACAACACAGTACTGCATGTGCAAAAGGGTTTATCTTTGTTGTCTGTACCTCCCATGTACCTCTCTATGTCTTTCTCTTCCTCAGTGCCACCATATTGATCACTCACATTTGGTACATTGCCCTTCTATTCACCCAGATCAATACTTATCTCTATTTCACGCAAGATTCTTAATGGGAGGAGCAGGATGGGATGAAAATGTGAGGTTTGCACAGTGATTATGTAAATTTAGTAGAAAATATCAGTACACTGTAACTAGGGTTTTCTTATAAGCCCTTAGTACCAGCAAAACAATAACACTGAGTTTCAATCAAGTGACTGAAGTTTTAATATAGTCAAATTGATGTTCAAATGGCTATTCACAGAGCCTAGAAAATATTAACTTCAAGGAAAGGAAGCCATTCTTGATTTGTATAAATTTAGTTAGGAAAGACTAGTCAAAATATTCATATTTCCAACTTTATTTACTGTACAGGTTCACATAAAACATACATACTCTTTCTGCTAAGGTAGATTTATCATTACATGGGAAGTTTTCATAATATAACCCTTTGTCCAAAAGCATGAGAGAGGGGAACACCAGCAGTGACTGACTTGGTACTTCACAAGTCACAGTTCACAACACAGGCAGATAGGTAACAGGTAACATGCTGTACTGCCAAGACCTCAAAAGAAAAGTCATAAAAGTTTGCATTTGGACAGTTTAAATGCACAATATCAGAGGAAACAACTTTACAAGGGCTAGTACCTATACTTTGGTTACAGTGACAACCACCACACACAGTCACAACTGTGCAAAAATACTGTTTTTATATCATTAAACAAGGAACACAAAGGATACAAGCTATAAAAATGTTGCCACAAAAAGCAAAGCTTTCCTGTAAGAAATTTAGACTTTGAACTAACCCCAGTTCATTAAATATAACAACATAACTAATCACTGCTTTGTCATTTAAGTCTGCAAATCTTGAAAACCTAACTTGTAGGCATCTTGAAAGAAACATGGTACTATCCTATGTGAATGGAACAATCAAAAGAATTAAGTTTGTAAACTGTTACTTGTCATCTTCCTTTAATCTTCTGGCAGGTCTGTTACAGCCACTGCAGTTATTTTTATTATTTTCATGTGAAATAATAAAAAATAAAAATTCTTTAACCAGGCTCTGATCCGAGTGTTTATTACAATGCAAACTATGACTGACTGACACAACAAAATTTTACAAATACTATTTTTAAAAGCCCTACCTCTTCTTTAGATGGGTGTGTTAGGGGATCACGATGAAAGCTAAACACAATTGCCTTAAAAAAGATCAAGTGGTTTTTACTTTAATCGCCAGACAAGAAAATTCTTTTAACAAGTGGAAACAACTTTTTAAACTCACTATGAAACAAGCACTTTGGCTAGCTAGTGTTTAAATGCTCTCCAAATGTTGTTTGTTGTTGTTATGCGCTGTCAAGTCAGACCCGACTGCCTTCCGGTTAGCAGTCAAGTGCCTTAGGTACTACACTACCAGAGCTCCAAATGGAAGAGACTTAAAACCAGAGGAAATAAGCTACAAACTACTCCCAAATTTCCAATTCCCAAATTTGGCTGGTTGTAGAATATCTAAGGAATAGCAGTAAGAACTCACTTTTTTCTCTGATCTTTTTCATAAGGGACTCCAATAGGAAATGAAGTAGCAACTAGGCTCCGTTCCAAATTTTACCTGAAGTGAGGGCCAGGTTTCATTGTATTTAAGAACGAACCCCAGTGATTATTACTGATGCAGAACCTGCACAATATGACCTCAGCTGGCTCTTTTCAACTACATTTCCTGCCCTTTCTCCTTCATTCTAAGACTGACCAATTCAAGCCATTCCTCACCCCCCATCTTTCCTAGCTCTGCCCGTGTTCTGAGCACACCCATTCTACCACTGCACAACACAATCCTACTCATCCCAGTCAAGGGTCATTCCACAAGAAAAACTTCATTCAAATACTTGTTAATACTGGATATAACATGGGAAATTTCCTTCACTTGTCATTAACAGCAGCAGCACAATTTAGAAAGAACCATGGGTTATGCCTGGTAACAAATCCATTATGAAACCAATTATTGTTTGAGCATATATTATTTAAATAAAAATAAACAGGAAAAAGTTTAAACACACAAGATAAAATCATTCCACCAGCTAAAAGAAAAATCATGTCCCTTAGAAACAAGTGGGGCATATAGTAAACCCAATACTAGATTCATCCCCATCAGATTAAATGAATGGATATAATTATTTACATACATCTTTAAGCTTTGACATAGATAATCTAACAGTCCTGACCAAAACTTAAAATGACTGTGGCACTGAAGATACTATATCAATATGAGAAAGTATATGAAAATGAAAACTGGGAAAAAGCATGTGCCAATTAAAATATATCTTTATGTGAGTATAAAGAAAGGGATTTCCATCTACCTAAAAGGAGGAAAGTATCTAAAGGAACAGGGAAAATTAGTCTATCATAGATTTTCTTCCTCTTTCTGTGTAAGTACAAGTCAGTTAGCTCCATCTTGACACTCATCCATGCATACAAGCAAGCACTGCCAGAAGGCCCCTGTCCTCACAGTGTGAGTGATGCCATCACACCCAAGCTATTCTGAAGTTTTGCTATGTACATGTTAGCATACAAAACAATATTACAAGCACTGGAAGTTGTCACTAGAATCATCAAAATAGTCATAAGATACTAAAACTATACACAATTTCTAACGAAGCAAGCTATAAACTCAATCCTCACAAATGTCCTAAGCACATACATTTAGAGAATATACTCAGATGTTAATGTATAGAGAATATACAAAGCATATATTAAAACAATTAGGTTCAGTACTCAAATCCAAGAAAAAGAACACAAAAAAACCTGTTAAAATTAAATATGGGCTCTGCAAATATCAAAATATGAACAAGATTATGAAGTACTTCTTAGAAAACTCTGGGGCTCTGATAAGCATGAATCACACATCATACCCACAGATCACCATCATACAGACATGGTGAGCTTAAATAATACACAGATCATCTGTCACATATGCAACAAAATTAAGCCATTACATGGGCATCCTATTAAGAACACTTGACCCAAGACAAAAATAAAGAGGAGTTAGCTGCATGCCCCAAAGATAGAAACATTTCATTTTAGGTCACCGTCTCCTTCTCCATCTCCTTGGATGGATTTTTTGATACGAAGCAACATTGTAGTAAGCCACTGATCCAAGCGAGATATTGAGTCAAATTCTTTTACCTAATTTAAAGGGAAGATGAATAGGAATTATTCCGTGGAAATACAATCAAAACATAAAACAATACTACCACCAAGTTCTTTTAACATTTACATTGATAATCCTCCAATTTTCTTCATTAGAAATTGTTCATTCCAATGATAAATTCAATCAATACAAACTTTATTTTTTTATTATTCTGTGACTATTCTGAAGGAGCTCTGGTGGCATAGTTCCTAAGGCATTTGACTGCTAACCAGAAGGCTGGCGGTTCAAATCCATCAGCCACTCCTTGGAAAGAAGATTGGGCAATCTACATCTGTAGTGATACTGCCTTGAAAACCCAAAGAGGGGTCACTTATGAGTCGGATCTGATGAAGGCAGTGAGTTTTTAGTGAGTGACAAGTTCCAGTGCTTTGTACATGGAGGAAATTCCTAACAGTCTTTTTAACTAGAAGGAAAGTACATTTAGTGTAACAAATAAAATTAGACTGTAATAATATTGATTTAGAAGGAATATGGAAAATTCATATTGCTCTAATATTTATCTAATTGAAAGAACTTGCACACAAAATTAGGATGTGTGGAAAAATTCTTCTGATATATTTCAATGCATTACCAAGTAGTAAAATTTCAATAAGATGAGAATTTTTTTTTTTTTTCCT